TTGGACATAGATATTCCTAGTCCCAGTTTATGACTGTCCCTCCAAGGCCAACTACTCTTCAGTCACACACTCCTTAAAAAGAGAAATGGACAGATTGCAGAGCGAAAACAGAACACATCAGTTAACCCTCATAACCTTGTCCCGCAGGTCTTCTGCAGAGCCTGGCCCAAACCTAATACAACTCAGGAGTTAAGTGAGGAGAGTGACCTATTCAGTTGTAACTCCTGTAATTCTTCCCTTTTCTGGTTAAAGGTTTTTTCCTCCTAAGGCCAAGATTCCATAAGGAAGTGTGTGGAGAAAAGGCTTCTATGGACACCGTATTCTCAGGCTGAAATAGAAAGGGATAGAACAGTAGATATATGGGAGGCTGCAGAACTGTTAATGACTCCCTTCTTCTGGCTCCAAAAGGGATATATTACACCTGCCTTTCACTGACTAGTATTATATAGTGGACAATAACAGACTCCAGAATTTGGAGAATTGCATCACAAGTTCATCACACTTTGGGATTTCTCACATTCCCATTTCCACAGCCTTTCTGTTTCCGTTTGTCTGCTGCAGCTGTAACTGGAAATAATTAGTGCTGGTCTTCATGTCAGGATAATAGATTATGTGGAAACTGTTGGTACGTTTTATGGCAACAGCATTGTTTTGCCATTTCAGAGCTCCTTCCTTTTGAATATGTAAAAGTAATTTCAGCTTTTGTTACCAGAGGTGATAAAAAGCTAATAATAACACTGCAGCATCTACTGTAATTTAAGAGCCTGTTCCACCAAGTTGCGCCTAGCTTCAGTTTTCTTATGAAGCTGTCAGCCAAAACCAAGCCTGTGATCAAAGTGAAATTTATCAAGCAACTGAGCTACAACATGGAGAGTAAACGTAGATGCTGACCAGCTCACTTTAGACCTGTGTTACCAGTATCATTACAACCATGGTGAGGCATTCAAGACCAAGGCTTGCTACCATAGATGCTGACATTCTGTCTTTGCGAAGCACAGTGTTTGCATGACAGTCGAGGAAGAAATGGCCAGGCCTGACTTCATGTAAGTAACATGGGAAAGCAGAAATAAACCATCTCCCCTTCTGCACTGGGAGATCTTTGCAGGGGAAGACTCCCTATCACACTGATCATTTGCAATCCCAGAGAAAGGGCTGAGCTCAGGTCAGGTGGAGAGAAGGACAGGAAAGGGGTTTCTGTTAAGTAGATGAATTTGTTCCTCCCTTGGCAGGACAATAGGAAACCTCAACAGACATTTAAGTCGACCTTGCTGATACCGTTCATTAGACAGCAACAGCATGCAAGTACACCAATAAATAGTTACATCTTTGATAATCCCTGTCAGTAGCAAACATCAAATCATTTAGGCTAGGGAGGGGGAACTAACAGCTGCCAATATGGCCTGAACTTGTGTCAGATAATCTGATAATAACCTAAAAAAAAAAAAATAATGGCATTGTTTTGCCCCTGTATCATTACTGGCTAAGATTAAGGTGTGCTTTCATGTGTGACTCAGCAAATGTGTTTGAAAGGCAAGCTCAACCCTCACTATAGGGGAGTTCCTAAATTTCCTGTTCCTAAATTAGATGAGGGTGACAGTTTTGACTCTCCCTTTTATCCTAAGCTAGTCTCTCTGAAGAATAGTATTGATCCATATAAGTATTTATGAGAAGTTCAGTACTGTCTGAGCGGCACACGCATTACTGGGTAGCAATCTGCGGTTAAATCTTTGAGGTGAAGATAATCCTAAACGCTCTAAACGTTGAGGTCAAGTAATTTTCATTATGTGCTTTGTTTATGTTGTCAAGATGTGATTCTGACATCAGTTAACACGGATGAAAGTTCAGCTAAGGAAGTGGACTCAGTCCCTTGGACTAACTGAGCTGTTCCTGCACTCATACCAGGGCCTAGGGGGACTCCACTGACCCTGACAGACCTCGTCCTCAGCAAGAGTCCCGAAAGGCAGCTCACGAAGGCTGCTTTGGCCGTCAGCTGCCTTCACCGAGTACCCCTTTTGGCAGGGTTTGAACATTCATATTGGGAGCCTGGATAAGGGAACAGCACAGTAGCAGCTACAGTGGCTGGATCACCATCGTGATGCAGGGGTAAATAAACAGTGTAGAACAATGTCCATACGCCAGTGTCCAAAAGGCCATCACATGTGCTAGCCCGAGATTAGCTGGGGCCTTCAAAGATTTTAACCACTCCACTTCTGGAAAGGAGAGAGGGACTGATGATGGGAATAAAGTTTCTAGCGATGGCAAAAGATTTTAATTGGAAAACATTAAGCCTTTAAAACACAGAAGGTAAATACTAGAATAAACCAAAGCTGTGGGGTTTGGTTGGTTGGGTTTATGAAGTCTGATCCGGGGGCTTGATTCATGGGTACTGAACATCTGGGGTTTGCTTTGTTGAGACTGGAGTTTAATTTCTGTGCTAGTCTTCATGCTGACACTTTTTTTTAAAGCATGCTCACTAATTTTTTGCCTTTTCAATGTCAGTAGTAGACAGAACATAACCATCTCTGACTCTGAGAAAAAGATCTAAGAGGAAAAACTCATTTAACTCTGAGTCTCTCAGCCAAAACCCTGGAGTGAGTAAGCAACGAGAACTCTGAGGAAACCAGAATAAAACATGGAATCTTTAATTGCTGAAATTTTTGCCTTAAAAACTAAATATAGGATTGAAAAAGATCTTGACCTGAATTAGGACTGAGGCTATTTTTATTTATTTTTAAGAGAGAAAACTGAGCATTTTAAATAAAAGGCCAGTTTTGCACAATTAAATCCCAAATTAGAATTGGCCATGAATAACAGTAAAGACAGAGAGAGAATTCAGAATGTAGTCCTTCCCATGGAAAGGATAAGGGCAGAATTTTCTAATGTATTATTTAACGCTTATTATGTAGTGCATTAAGCAGTCACTGAGAGGAAAGCTTTTAAAAACCAACAGCCTCTCTGGTAGCATTAAATCTTACCTTAGTTTTTTGGTTAAGTCAATATGAAGAAAATAAACGAATTAATACATTTCAGTCTGCCCGATTTATAGAGGCCAATCAAGTTACAATGCTGGACATGGCCAACTGAAAGAGGGGAATAGGTTTACCTGAGTGAGGTCTTAATTTAATCAGCTGGCCCCAGAGAGCTGAAGTCAGCAGGCTGGGATGATATAAGAGGCAGCAGAGAAATAGTGCCTTTACCGCAGTCGAAAAGGAGAATGACAGTGATGGAAAGGAGTCTAGGCAGTGTCAGAACACACCTATTTCCATGATTTATTCTTAATTTACTTTAATGACAGTCTGAAGGTTGTCCATTTTTCTTTAAGTATCCTCAGAATACTGATATTTTCTAAACATTTGGAGCATGCTTCTTCTCCCCCTCATTTCTGTTAGCTCTATTGCAAGCTGGAATTGAAGAGCTATTTTGAAAGAGGAGTGTTTTGCCATAATGAATCTGAGTGCAGTGTCAGACTAACCTTTTCCCACTGTTTGCCTTGCCAGCCAATGTGTCCCTTCTCTGCAGTCGCCCTTGAGTCAGGTCTAGGAATCGCAAGTTCCCCTTGGATTAATATTGATATTATAATGAAATGGAGGAATTCATTGCATTTCTTTTCGTTTATACTGGCAAAAGAACAATGTGTGCTTTCCCAATACCATAGCTCATTTTTATTACCAAGTGAGTTTATTGATGGTTGTTCAGAAATACTGACATGCAGACAATGATCTCGGATTGCATTTACATTTCTGGAATACTTTCTATCTTTCCAGTTTCTGCCAGGAACTTGCTTCTGTGATTCAGAGTTTTTATTTTAAGATTGGACTGTTGTTTAATCTGCATTACAAATCTATGCCTTTTGCTTTCCTGTGTATGTGCACTGCATTCATTAGCATCACAAATCCTTTAAGCTTGGACCTGAACAATTATTGTTAATTTATAAATTCTTCCAGGTAGGAATTTGTTTTTTGCCAGGCACTCCGGTATGCTTTTACAGATTGACTGTAAAGTCATCATCCTGTCATCAGATGAAATAGTGATTTTTTTTTTTTTCCCCCCACAATGCCAATGAGAGGGTTCAAGGGCAACATGATCTCAGTAATACTTGCAAATAGCTTGCAAATGTCAGGATAACTGGAGATCCTTATCAGTCTTTTTCTCATCTAAAAAAATCCATGGTTTTGCAATAAAGGGCGACTACAACTACTACTTTTTTATTAATCTAGTCCTTTACATAAAAGATGCCGAGAATTGCCCCAAAATGCATCTGAAGGGGAAAAAAAGCCCAAGTGATATCGTTCCATACTTAAAAAATACAAATTCCAGACAATTTCATACAAAAAAAATCTTTGTACTCGCTAGGAAAAACAATGAAACAAGACTTAAAGCATTTTGTCTTCATAGACACTTTTTGCCCATGTTGGTGAACAAGGCATATGCAACACCTCCGTATTTCCTCACATCAGCAATCTTTCTTGCCAGGTTGTCTTACCGTATCAAGGGTCACCTGTTGCTTTGAAGTTAAGGGCAGTGGCAAAGCCGAAAGAAGCCAGGAAGCTCCCTGTTACATTAAGTCAATATGCTGAGTTGCTGCAGGAGACCAGAGAGCAATTTGACGGGCGTTTCACTGGGGCACGTTACAAAACCACTCAATCCAAACTTCATATTTTAAAGCATGAGCCAGTTCCCATCCCAGGGGAAACTGAAGGTACTTTTTGTGACAGAAAACCAGGTTCTGAGACCAGCCACTGCAATGCAGAATACCTGTTAACTCTACTCAGGCTGCGTCTACAAGTAGACAAGCAGAGCAGGCCAGTTAGAGAAGATTTGTTGAGCAAAACAGTGGCCACACTGGATCCAACTAAAACATTAATACAAGTGCCCCATCGCTCTCCATACATAGTTCAGTTACTCCGACCAGTGTACAACATGTTTCCACAACAGACAGAATTTAAAGCCACTACTTAAAAGATGCACAATTAATCTGACGTTTGCTTTCATGTTTTCAGATATACTCAAGGACAAGAAAACCCATCCAGAAAACAGAAACGAACCAAAACCAACTGTGAAAAAGATTGACACCACAACCACCACAAGCACTGTCAAGTCATCCTCTAAACACAGTGTAACTGGAAATGGGAGCAGTCCAGCCCTGAGTTCCCCACTTGTTATTTTAACAGCACTAGCAGTTCTGTGGTGTTGTCCACTGTAGCTGTACTGCCTTGCAGCCACGGCGCAAGCATTTCTGTTCACTGTCATTTATACCTACAGCCTTACCCAACAGAAAACAAACCTAAATGGCTCTCTAGTTTATGTGATATGTTAGAATAAATATTAAACGATACGCTGGAGTTGGCAGATACCAAGTGTCATCGCTTAAATGTCTGAACATAGCCTTTGACAAAGCCCACCCAAGATACAGAGGGAATGATGACAAGGGTCTGAGTAGCTTAAGTTATGGGGTAGAAATAATTGAAAACACAGAAATTGTGTATGTGTGTGTTATTGTTTTTCTCAATTTTGTTTGCTGGAATCTTGACTGGCTGGTTTTGTTTGATTTTTCTGATAAATTATATGAATGGTCAGTCTCCAAATTCAAGCCAATCCATACGTTATTGTTCTAGTGAACAGCTAACAAGCTATGTCTACAGTTGTAAACCATGTTAAAGTGAAGTACTCCTACCAGCCTGATGAAATTCCTTAAGTGGTCAGGAAGATCAAAGCATGTTTGAAACTTCTTTTCACTCTTACTGTTTAGATTGTAGGAAGCAACATAAAAGCATATGGTGTGTCTAATATATCAGTATAGTTGCCTTAACTATGGGAAAAATTAGAACTACTTGGTTTATTGAGGGATATAGATAGTGAGTTTCCCTGCCCCACAAAATGCCATTACCAGATGCTTAAGCATATGCTCAAGGCTTATTGGATGAATGTCCAGCAACAGGAAACATAAACAAACATAATAATGTTTTATACAGTTGAATGCAGCTCTGTACAGAGAAAAATAGATAATTCAGTTCAAACTTATTTGCCTTTGTGATGTTAAAGAGAAACTGACTTAAATTATCCATAAAGGTCCCAGAGATATAAATTATTGGGAACTCCTGTTAGACACTAACTAGATTTTGTGCATTGTGGACCTCTGAAATCAACTCTGTTTCATAAACTGTGTATTATTTAATTACTTTTAATGTTTAAAATTTTGTATCATGGTAGGTGTAAATGTAAAAATCTGAAATCTAGAACATTCTCTGTTATGCGTCATCTTGATTGCTACCCTAGAAGATGTCAAAATGTGCATTATGTTACAAGGCTATTTTTTTTAATCAATACATTGATACCTTTTAACTTTTTTGGATGAAAAAGTACTATAATAACTTCTAATGGGTTAAGAGTTAACGTGTGTTTTCCAACAACTGTTTACAGTGCCATTGAATATATACACAAAGACAACTGTATGAATACAGTGATTAATATGATGAATATATGAAACATTAGAATTGTTATATTTACTGCATTTCATAACTATTACAACAGTTTAATGGCCATTTTCATGTTGTAGACTATTATTATGTACAGTTTTATAAGATTTAATGTAAAGCACTTGCCTTTGGTTTTTTGTAAAACATCTCTCTGATATTTAGAGTTAGACAGCCACTGATATAAACTCAGAAGAACCACCCTGTATCTCACTAATCAACTTCAGGCATTTTATTGGCAACTTTGATTATAAAAGACAGCCTGACTCAAAGAAGGTGCCATGTGCCAGGATTACTACTGGATGTCATTATACAGAAAGTGGCAATGATACAGAACAAGCATAGAATAGGTGAACAAAGACTCGCTACACTTGTATGTTTTCAGATAGTATTAGTGAACATGTCTAATTATGTTTGCAAAGGTGGGGCCTGAGTTTCAGTTTTAATTTGGGCTCATATTTACAGACATAAAGGTATAATCAGAACCATCAAAACACCCAGCTGCAAAGGCAGCGTCTCTAAAGCGGCAGCAGCTAAGTTTTCTAAAAGGTAATTAATTTTTAATGTTGAAACAAGGAGGTAAAATGGAAACGATACTTATACTAACATGAAAAATTTTATATTTGAATTCTGATTTTTCAAAAGGGTATGGATATTTATATCCGTAAGTAGTGCTTTCCAGACATATCAGTGAAAATCCATTTTCCCAAAAGTACTAGAAACGTCTGTCCTGTGTTTTCCAGGGTTTGTGAGCTGCACCAGTCTACTGAACCATAATTAAAAATGCCACTTCTTGTATTCAATTTCAGTGTCCACCAGGATTCCTATGGATACAGCTATAGGGTTTTAGGGCTGGGCTCTGATGCTACCAGATTTCAGCTGTGCAGCTGGGAGTTTTCAGTTCTCACCTGCAGAGAGGGAACTTGAATACCTAGACTTACATGTCTTTTTGAGGTCTTTTCCAGGTCTTTTCTGTAAAAGGTTTTGTGCTTTTAGCTTGGAGCAGCGATTCAGCTGTAGCAGAGGAAGATGTAGAAGCCCTGCAGTAGGCGTGTATGGAATAACTCACCCGGGGGATTATTAGTTGTTGCTGAATGTCATAATCTTGCTAACCAAAAAGCTCTGAAAAATCCAGTGTTTGAATTTGGGGTTTGGTTGGCAAATATTTGTATGCTGTAGCATTCATCTCTCAAGCTAAACAAGACAGCCCTTTTAAAGTTTCTGCAACAAAGCTAGAACAAGTTCAAACTGCAGGGCAAGAGAGATTCATTAACTCATTTCATTGGATTCAAACCGTATTTTCATAGACACAAATTGTTATGGAAGGAGGGACTCCACACCTTTTAATACATTTCACGCTAATATACTTTTACACTGTAAGAAGAGTACTGGTTGAATCGGCATGAAATATGTTCCTAATGTGTATCAGAAATGGTGCAGCTTTAAAGGGCAACACAGTACATTTTTACTATATGGTTTATGATTGTTTTTTCCTCAGGATCAGTTGCATTTACATATTAAAAAAGAGTATTTTCCATCAAACAAAAAATCTGTACCAGCAAAGGCAAAAATAACTGGCTGTGTCAGATAAAGGAAGCATTTCTTTCCAGATGAATAAAATACCTATTTTACAGAATCTTATTTTGTTATCTAGGACACTGTAATTATGATGTAATTACAAAGGTCTAAACTCAGAATACTTTTGAACTTGTCTATGTAATCTCAGTGTAAAATAAGGCACCAATCTAAGAGCATTGCTGTAGCTTTGCCTAACAGTTATGAATTGTATTTAGCCACTGCTTTTTGAATGTTTATTGTTTTGCTATGACTTTCTTTTGGCATTTTGCTGTGCCAGCATTTGTGAATCCCAGCATTGGAAACTAACTGCTCTCATACATTTGTGAGTAAAATCAATCTATAATTTTCTCTTGCAGGCTTCTTACCAAAAAAGACAAAATTGCCACAGGCATACAGTCAGTTCTCAGTGTTTCTCTGCTGTTTGGGCTCCATGTTACACCAGGTTCACATAAGAGGTTCATGTGTCTCTAGTCCCCTTCCTGGCTATGGAAGCCTCAGGGAGAAGAGTGAACGTGAGTGGACAAAAGCACCCGTGGCTGCAATGCGCCAGTACATGGCAGCCTCCAGCTGTCACTTCTGAGGCCCTGAGCCGAGCATTCTCAGCTCGTTTTCAAGCGGCTTTTACACCTCTCCAAATCAACGCATGGAGACTGGCCAGGCAAAGAGCAGCAGAGAATCTAGAGACTGCATTTTCAGGCAACTTCACAGGCACCTGCTATGAATTGCACTTCCTTTGCAATTTAAATGCTCTACAGAATCTGGCCTCTCCTTTTCAGCCTTGCACTTTTTTTCTGGCTTGCATATTGCTAGTGTTATGCCCTGTCTTCTAGTGCGCCAGGTACGTTGTCATTGCATAACAAATTGTGATTCTGATCTCTCACTCAGTAATGAGCCTTCTGAGGTACAAATATCTGTCAAAGCTTGATAAGGGCAACACAAATAATAAAGTCCAGCTGCATGGACTTCAGAGGCTCTGGGTATGGGTATCTGGCTATGAGATTCACATCTCTTTGATCTCTTAAATCAGATCTGTACTTAATATATCCCTATTTCCTTTTCTTACCAAGACTGCAACATGGATCATAATTTTAAATTTGACTCTCTAATCCTGTATGGCTCTTCTCAATGTTGTCCTAATGGATGTTGTGTGCAGACCTCATCTTAATGTTAGATGAGCCTTTTTGCCCAGATTTACTGAGCCATTCTTATTCAATATTGCACGTGATTAGGTTTAAGCAACATCTGTTCAAGGGAAAGGAGCTGAAACACACATTGAAGTGAGATACTGAGTAGGACAAAAATCCAGGAAGTCCATATATTCCTGAATTGGACTCTTCACATTAAGTAGATTTTAAGGCTTACCTGAAATTACAGTCAACATTTCATAACTAGCATGGTGTCAAGGGGATTTCAGCCTTGCATTGAAAATTGATAGTCTACCCATTTTTTCAGTGGGAATTAGTTGATATGCATGCTTTCCTCATGTCTCTGCACATGGGTACATGTAGGTCTGCAGAAATAGGAGACATTCCCTAAAATGTATCCTGCACATTGAGCATCACAGCATCGTAAGTGCTTAATGTTACAACTAGCCAAAAGCACTAGACATTTATTTTCATTTATAATGTTTCACTACTCACAGTGCTTCTTATAAAGGCATACGGCACCTGTGTTAATGAAAAGCAAAACACCTTACAGTCAATGTTATTATAGCTGTGACATGCATTAGTCCAAAAGAACATAATAATCTCTTCTTCCCATTGCCTCAGAAGTCCAGAATTACTCCCAATGCTGAATTATCTCCTGGTTTCCATCATCACTCTCTAAATAACCACATTTTAATTGTATTAAATATTAAGCCACCAAAGAATAAATACTGGCTAAGAGATTGTAATAAATAGAGAGATAATAAACTCAGAAAAATATCCTGCATTTAAAATAGAGAATACCGCTAGGTAAGAAATCCTTCCTGGACTAGAACAATTTTTCAAGTCCCTCTCCAGTTTCATCACCATTCCCTTCTACCTCCACACAGCACAATATGAAGCCTGCATGCAGGAGGCTGGTGCACTGAATTCAGGAAAGGGAATTAAAGCTATTGCTGCGTAGGGGTATTTCCTGCTTAAAGTGGGCCTCCTTTTGCTGGCTATGA